GCATTTGTTCGTACCGACACATATGAATCGAGAGTGATTCGTACTTATTGGTATAAAACAATTCAATATAAGTATACATAAATAGTTAAAGAGGAAAAGAGAAAGGCAAGAAAACAGGCTTACAGAAGGAGAGCAAGAGACTACACTAAAGGGAAGCAGAGCAGAGAGAAAACAAAGGAAGCATTGTCTTGCAAATATTCTTCAGAGAGGAATCCTTAAGTTTTCTGTCCTCTTTCTCAATGAGGTAAGTGGCAACTAGAGAGATCTAGCTGGAAACTGTACCATTTCCTCACCTATTATTTTTTTGCTGTCATAAATGCATGAGGAATTTACTTAGTTGGCTGGGAGTCTTAAACCTCTTGGCTGAGACAGTGGAAATCTCAGTTGCGTTGTAGACTGGATGATATGTACTCCTAACCATGGGTATGAAACATAATGTTGGAGGATGATTATTGTCAGTAACGGCATCACTCTTTCGTGAAAACAGCATGAGCTTTGGGAATTTTCTGAGACACATAAAAGTTCTCGCACAAATACGTGAGAGCAGGGCCGCTCTGTGTGCAAGAGAACCAGTTTTCTATTTGTACTTCATAATGAAGAGGGAGTCAGTCACTCAGATTTCTCCTTAAAGGGATAGTCTTTGATTGAAACAGGACTTAAGTATGTCATCCTTAATAAACAAAGTGCTGGGCAAATGGATTTTAAAAATATCATATACCATGCGACTGTATGTATGTTATTCTTGGCTAAACGTGCTTATGATCTGAATCAAAATATTGTGATAGGTTTTTCTAGGAGATGACAACCCAGATCATTTTGCATTATACTGTATGCAAAGAGCTGGGAAACGTGAGAATAATCCAACTTTACAATAAATTCTTAACCTTAGTCATTTCTTAATAAGACTCATGGTTATAGAGCATCCTTCTGCCTCAAATTCCTAAGTGTATCCAACAGCATTAAAAACATAATTTACCAGCGATAAGCCAAACTCTTTGCATTGTGGGGTGTTGTCTGAGCCCTTTCCAAACACGTTTGTGAATGATCAGAGCACAAAGTCCACTGCTGGGTCAGGAGACACATGCACATAAATATGCAGCCCACGTTCTTTGGTCTTGCTGGAACTGCTGTCAATCATGCCTGCTGCAGAGCCTACAGAGATGCTTTTCCATGGCTTTCTAGAGAAGGAATTGGACAGGCACCTTTCTCCATACAGCACAGAAAATAGTAACTCCAGCTGCAGTTTTGCTGAAGCACAACCGGAGACACACCTATTGACTCCGGCTGGAGGAACGATGCAGAAAAAACAACCACCTCTTAGGAAATTGAAGAAACTCTGTGCTATAGCAGGCTAAATATCTCATCCAGCTGGAAGCAGGTGGAAAAAAAAAAGGCAGGTTTTGTTTGGGGTTAGTTTGGCGTGGTTTTATTTTAACAGGTCATAACGGGTGGTGGCGGGCAAGCATCGCCAGGGAGGCCCCGTCCCATCCATTGGAATGGAAGCGAGAGTTTTCAGAAAAGCACATTGTTCTGCTACAAATCTATTTGCCGATTCCCACTGAAGTGAATAGCCCTTCATTCCCGCGGGAATTTGTGCCGTCACTTCAAATGTTATGCATATAAGTTAATTTCACACTGCTTCAGGACTTTGTTTTCAAATGACCAAAAGGGTTAAGAATGGAGAAGGAAACGCTTGCCAAACACTCCCGTCTAAATTAAGGGCAAGGGCTTTTTTTTCATGGGGGGTGTGGGGGGGAAGGGCAAGTGGGTGGACAATGGCCAGAAAGAGAGGGAAAAATGGACTGGAAATAAAGTACCGTCTTTTGTATTTCTACAGCTCAAAGATGCTTCTGAACAGGACTGCTGCCAACTGTGGAAAACCACCTTTTTATGGAAAAAGTATGCCAGTAACAATGGATTTACAAGAACTGAGCCAGTGCATCCTATATGCATTTATACAATATTATGCAAAATTAATTGTTTGGATCATCATGCCTTCAGGAGTGTTCTAAGCATTGGGGAGCCAAATTTAGCCTTGATATCACAAAGTCAAATTTCCTTTTGTATCACAAAGTCCCCAGGATGCCTGATTACAACAGTGCTGAATCTGGCACTGGAAGATGTTACCTACAGACTGGGCACAGTTCTGTTTAAATATGACAAACTGCATTTGTTTCTTTAGCCTGCATGAACCAATGTACATATTTTGGTCCTAGATCTCCAAAACATTTTATTTTAAACAGACTTAATGCCTTTTGTTGCTTTGGAATTGGAAGAAATTAAAATATTATAGCAGATAACAATTTGATTATAGTTGTCACAAATAGGATTTTACGGGTTGCACTTTCAATTACACTATGGCCCCACTGTATTTCCTGTCTATCCTCAGAGTGCCTTAAACTTGGGGTAAATGTAATTATGAGATGAAATTTGCTTTGACTGTTAACTATAAAGGGACATTTATCTGTATAGGACGCGTCTATACAGGGAAATGGAATAATTATATCCAATTAAAACACCTACCTGTAACGTTACATCACTGAAGCCATACCAGTATAAATTATTCTGCTACAATTATATGCATCAATTTTCCTGTGTAAAAAGGCTCTTAGCATAAACAAAAATTGGGCTCTAATGATTAATTCAGTATTATATTTATCCAGGTTTATTGGCATGGTGGAATATATTGGTTTCCACGGAATCGAAACAGCAAAGAGCCTAACAACAGAGCAAAGGACCAGGCTTCCAAAGCATCAGCAGAGTGAGAAAATCTCTTTTTTTTTTCCCTTTAAACAAACTGTCATACAAATCTGTTTATGCAGTTTTGGACAAGATCTTCTGTACTACCTAAGCAATCCTGAGTCCCAATCCCAGAGCAAATTGGCACAAGAATCATTTTGTACTAGCTGAAGATCAGATTTACGGAACTATGTTGATTTCACTAAACTTTGGGAGTCCTCTCAGCTATGTTGGTTTGCATAACTTAATGTTGATGAACGTTGAACGTGAATCATGGCTAGCAGTATGGCTCTAGTAACTCTTCACCTGAATTCTGCTTTGTTTCACAGTTACAAATTAATGAGGCCAGTTAATTGGCAAACATTCAGTGTAGCTGAAGACCGGATGAACATACCATTGTGAGCATCTGACAAACTTAGCCATGCGTAGCTTTGAGAGAAACTGCTGTTCGTGACCACCACTGAAGGACATTATCAAATATTACACTGTATTGCAGAAATTATGGGGTTTATATGGAACCTGTTTGCACTAGATGTCTCAGCAGCAGGTATGGTACATACAGCTGATCACTATTTTCCTTGAAGTTTTGCAAGGAGAGTGCACCTGACAAGACTGTAAAGAAAGAAGACTCAACCCAATTCTTTCAAGCTTTTGTATTTTGCTACCGAAAATCTGATTTGGGGATAAATCCATTGACATTGTGCCCGCAACACTGACGTTCAGATCAGTGCCGAGATGCAGCAAAGAAACCTCTTTTCTAGAAAAAAAAAAAAAAAAAAAACCAAAAACACCTTTAATTTTGTGACCTGGTTACAGCCTGCTCCAATTCCGAGACAGCCCTTTAGCTGGACTCCTGGGACCCCGGGCAGAGGCACGGATCCCCTCTTCACCCCGAGAGCGGCCACCCCGCCGGCAGCGCTGGGCTCCTCCGGCCTGCGGCCGGGCCACCCTCGCTCCCTCCGGAGCAGCCGTGCCCTCACGGGTGACAGCCTCACCCAGAGCAAAGCCCTGGGCTGTGCCACAGCCAAGAACCCCCGCAGGCGTTGGCGTGACAGAAACCCTTCCTGCTGCCCCCCGAAACCCCGGCGGGACCCGTCGCCACGGCTGCACAGGGCCATATTTGGTATTCCTCGGTGATTTCTGTGCAGGGCTCAGGCGGCTCCCAGATGGTTCCAGACCCCTCCGCTCTGCCGGGGCCTGCCGTCGGGTACAGCCGCCTCTTGAGGGGTTTTAGGGTGGGGTCCGCAGCTTCCCGCGCCCGCGGGCTCGCCGCACGGCGCTTCGCCGGGAGGTGCTGCGGGAACGGGGGTGCCCCTGCCCGGCACCTCGGGGGGTGACCGGGCAGCCCCCTCGCCCGCCTCTCACCAGGGGTTTGCCCACGGCGGCGGCTGCGTCGCGGAGGGGGTGGGGGGGAACGGAAACGACGAGAAAGTTGGTGATCAGTAAAAGCAGCGGGGCAAAGCCGGGCGCCCGCTGCCGGGGGGCCCAGCGGCCGCCCCCCGGGGAGGAGGGGACGGGCCGTCCCGCCGGGAGGAAGCCGCGCCGGCCGTCCTCCCCCCCGCCACGCGTCCGTGGGGAACCGGGGCAGCGGTCCCGGCGAGCGGGAACACCCGCGACCGCGCCCGGCGCCTGGCGGAGCGGGCTCCGGCCACGTCCCCCGCGGGACCGCGCCCGGGGCGTGCGCTGCTGGCCGGTCCCCAGGCCGCGGGGCAGCCGGCCCGGCCGTGCGGGAACCCCCGGCCGCACGGCTCCTCTCTCCTTCCAAGGGGCCCGAACGCACCGGACAGCGGGTGGGAGGACGCGTGGCGGAGCCGCCCGCTCCCCGCCGGGGGGAAGCGGGGCGGGGGAGAGCGGAGGAGCCGGGCGGAGAGCGGGGGGGCGGGCGCGGGGTGAGTCAGGCCGGGCCGCCGGGGAGCGCGGCGCCCCCGACCACGCTCGGGGCGGGGGCGGGGGCGGGGCGGGACGTACCAACATCCCACCCGGGGGAGGACACCGTAGCACACACACACACACACACCCCCCTCCTCCCTCCCACCAGCTCCCCCAGCGTTGCCAGTGGGAAAGCCCCCTCCCCTCCCGCCTCTCAGGGCACGGGCGCATCTGCGAGTCCACAGAGCGGGCCGGGAGAGCCGACTTGCCCCGGAGGGGGTGAAAAAGGGAGGAGGGGGTGCGGGAGGGTCGAGGTAGACGCTGACGGCACACGCCTGCCTCTTCCCCCCCCCCCCCCCCCCCTCCCCGCGGCGGGGTGGTGTGGCCCGCTCTGAGGAGGGCGGGGAGCGGCGCGCAGCGCCTCCCTGCTCAGTGACACACGCACCCGGTGCGGGGCGGCGGCGGCGGCTGGGCGGGCGGCGAGAGCGGCGGCGACTGGGAGCCGAGCGGGGAGCATGGCAGGCGCCGAAGCTGCTGCGGAGGCTGCCGCTGGTTTCCCCCCTTCGCCGGCTCCTCCCGCCCGCCGGGAACTTTTTCCAGCGGCCGGCGGCGGTGCCTCCCCTCACCGGTGGTGGTGGTGGTGGCGGAGGCGGCAGCAGCCGCAGCGGCGGCGGCTCCGCTCGGTGGTGCCTCCCGGGCCGGGGCTGGGGCTGCTGGGGCTGGTATTCTCCCGCTTCTGCTGCAGTAAGTGAAACTTTTTCCCGTTGGCGGCCGGGGCAGGGCGAGGGGGCGGGTGGAGGAGGAGGAGGAGGAGAAGAGAAACCCGAGCCCCGGCGGATGCGGCCGAGTTGGGGGAAACTTTGTGTGCGCGCCCGGCGGGGCGGGGTGGCGGCGGCGATGGCCTGCCGGCCGCCCCACGGGCGGGTGGGACGCGGACGGGGTCGCGGTAGCTTTCCCTCGGGAGCCGGAGGCGGGGGGAACCGGAGCCCGCTCCGCGCCTCGGAGACCCCCCCGGGCGCTTTCCCCCGCCTTCTTCCCGAGGCCTCCCCCCGTCTCCGGCAGCGCCGTGGCCGGTAGGAGCGGGCGCCGGGCGTCCCGGGAGGCCGCGGCGGCGCGGGCCGGGCCGTTGCGTCGGCCCGGGGGTTCCGTTGCCGCGGCGGGGACCGTTACTCGCGCGAGCGGCCGGGGACCGGGCGCCGCCCTGCCTCGCGCCTCCGCGAAGTTTCCTCGGCCGTGGGCTCCGCGACGCCCGTGGGAGGGGGGTGGCGGGGGGTGGCCGCAGACCGGGGAAGAAGTTTGTCGGCCGGTCGCGGGGCCGGCACTGAGCCACGGCGGGTTATCCGGCGTAATTCCCGTCCTGAATGGCGGGCTTTCGCTTGTTTGCGGAAATCCACGCGTGCCCCCCGTGCCCCCGCCGCCTGTAGCCAGTGGGAAGGGCAGCAGGGTGGGTCTACCTGCGCTCCGGCTGCGCTTCGGAGCGGGGGGGGGGGGGAAGGGCTAGTAGGCGCTTTGCTGCTGGGGCTCTTGGCTTGCGTCGTTGTTCCCTCTTAATTAGGGTGAAATCGGTGCTAGTTACTGCAGGCTTAAGGTTTTTAGATCGCTTACCTCGTCTGGCGAGAACGGATTTGTGCCCGCTGCATCACCCCTCACCTCGAGCAGCTACTGCTGGGGGCACTGCGGTACGGGGCCCCCGGGGGGCTTGACGTGACCGCTCGTAGGAAAATACCAGCCCCACCAGTTTCCCCCCTGCCTCGTCCGTCCGTCCCCCGTGCCCCCCCCCAGCCCCCGCGTGCTTTTGCCTGTGGAAAACAAGCAAGCGGCGTAGCAGTTGGAAAGTAAATCACAGTGGGATTTTATTTATTTATTTATTTTGCTATTGCATGCTATGTAGCGTCATTTTTACAGCCGTGGAAGATTAGGAAAAAAAAAAAAAAAGTGGACTTGGGCAAGAGCACGTTGAAAACCGTCATCTTGCTGTTGTATGGTATTCCCAATGCAGTAATGAAGAGTTGGCAAGGATATTTTATTATAGGATACACTGTGTCCTTTCCCTCTTGAAAGAAGGAGGAACGAGTTAGAGGAGGTAGTCTCTGGAGGTTCATGTGATAAAAATACCAAGGAACTTGCAAGCCATGCCACCATAAAGCAGTTGTATCTGAGAAATCCTTTTTCAGGGAGGGAGTTGAGGCATTGCTGCCGTGAGATTGTGCTCTTGCATGTAATAGTCTCCCCCCTCTGGCAATTATGTAGCTTTCAGAAAAGATTATTACTAATTTAAGCTTAAACACACGTGTTTGATGAAAGAGAACCCTGTTATATTGTGCCTGTTCTGTCTGTAAGGAAAGGCAACCATGGGAAAGGTAGAAGGGTAGATCTTCATACACAGTGGGCTTATTTCGGAAGGGGAAGAGTAGTTCAAGGCTACACCTTGTTCTGATGGTGAACCTGTTACTGTTTCAGTTTACCGGGAGCTAATGCGCCCACATGAATCTTGAGAGGACAGTTTTGGTCCCAATCAAGCTGAATAGCAACTGCAGTGCTTGTTATGGCACAAGGATTTTGCAGGGCTAGGTGACTGTCACCTTAGCCAGAGACTACCGGGATGCTTCTTTAGAGAAGATAAACTACATTAGTGAAGTGGTCTAAAAGTTGAATTGCTTATGCAGAAATTTTTCTGATGCGTAAAGAGTATTTCCTGGCTACAAGATTAAGTCTCTAAACTGATGGCTTTCTTATTTTATTCATAGATCATCATCTGTTAAACTTAAGTTGCTGTTGAAATAACTGAAACAAGATCTATTGTGTTCTTGTATGTTCTCTAGAGCTACTTGGTTGAACGTTTTAAAAAGTGTTAAAAGACCTGTTTTTCTTTCTCATTAAAACGGGTCCAGCAGTTTAATTTCCTATGCATAAAACTATGGAGCTCTTAGTTGATTGACAGTATTTGGCTTTATTTGTGTAAATCGACTTTTTCAGTAGTAAGAAGGCGCCACAATTCAAAACCTTAGGGCTTGAAGACTTAGTTTTCATAGGGTTGGCAAACTTCTTCCTCTAGCTGTTTTTCGCCCTCACTTTGTTCAGGGTGATTTCCTCTCGTTTGCGATTAAAAGGTGAAGTTGCAGACGGGCCATAACCTTGCCAAACTATTTTTACATGTAAATGCGAAGATAATAGTAACAATGAAGTTAAGAGCATCCCTGGTGTCATGCAGTGACTTACTATTTTAGTCTTGATGAGTGTGATTCAGATGTCAGTCTTCCCAGATTCTTTTTGGCATATGTGAACTTGACTGATAACACTTCAGAACATCTGCCGAAAGTAGGAATGTTGTGTTGAAGTAATCTTCCTTCTCAAGTGCAAAATTTTGAAGTATAATCCATAGATAGAAAGGGAAATTTAAAAAACTACTAGTGACTTTCAGACTGTGAGGTAAACAGCAGGGGAAGATGTTTTCTCATCAGTATCCTAGTAGTTTGAATTTTTTTCTTTTTCTCTGAAATTTCCCACTGCTGTTTTTATTATCTCTGTAACTGTTGCAGGTGAGTGTGAAGGAAAAATAATGTAATGACTGGCTTTTAAGAGTGCTTGTAAAAGCATTTTGAGCATGATTAATTATTGAAGAAATCCAGGACTGCTGGTTAATTTTGTTCATCATTCGTCCTACTGGTGGGTCAACTCTGATAATTGTTGCAAAAGGAAGAATTTACAGCACCACAAAAAAACCCCCACCCTATTAGAATAACTTCACTATAAAATCAAATCATTTTTTGTGCAGTCATTTTGACTGAAAGTTGGTAATGATGATTTATTTGATCTACAATGCCTCAGAGAAGTATTACCAAAAAGACCCCAACACGCAAACCAATGTATGTAGTACCTGAAATAACAGCAACTTCTGGATCTTTGAATAAAAATAATCTGATTTAATAAATACTGCTCTTTTTAGGAAAGTGAGACCATCAGGTTCGGCTTAAATGTACAAGTAGTTCTTCGTCTTAATTGAACAGTGTGTGATGCAATGAAGTATATACTAAACTTACATGATGAAATTTAGTGTAGCTTTGAAATAAGGGAGATGTATGGCATCCATAAGAAACATAATAACCTTCAATCTGTGAAGTACCTTAGTATGTGCTGTGGCAAATACTTTTCAGCTGTGCTGTATAGGAGGACCTGCGTGTTAGTAAATAATTAATTTCTTGTTATTTCAGTGCCTCATTAGTTTGTATGCAATGTTAAGTAGTTTGCGAAGTTTTTGGAACGTAAGCATGAATTAAAAATTAAGCAAAACTGTAAAGTGAAGTGAAAATAAATGAAAAATGGACTAGGTATATTTTTCAGGGACTTCGTTGAGGAAAATATTTTTTTTCAATGTGAGTTATGTTAAGCTTCTCAGTAGGGCTAGAAAAATAAAAGTTTGTGGGGCATATACTTTTAAATTACCAATTGGATTGTTTGCCTTTTTTTTTTTTTTTTTTTAAAGCAGCCTGGAGTATAGAACTCCAGACTGTAGTGGAGCTGGAAAGGTTGTATTATAAAGATGTGGATAATACAAGTATACTATGTACCATATACTAAAATGAAGTCGCAAATAAAAAAAAAAAAAAAAGGAAATTTGCAAGTATTGACCTGAGCACTTGATTTCACTGTGAATTTTTTCATGATTTTCAGGTTAAGTCATGACAGAAATGTGAGGTTAAGCAAAGCAGGTTGCTACTTTGGAAATGGGAACATGTTGTAGAGTGTTCCAAAAGACAACAGAATGTGATTTTTTCCTCATTGTATGTTAAAAGCAATGATAATAATTTAGAAGTTCAGGTCTAAACTTTTTATTCTTTATTGGTATGGAGAGATATGCACTTTTAAAAAGGTGTTGGGTGACCCGATATGACAATAGTAAGAGAAGAAATAGGAATGCTATAGAAGGCATTTGAGAAGTTGGAAAGAATTACATGTTGGCGAGCTATGTAGTAGGTACAGCAGTGTGTAAAACTGCTGCGTGAAGAAACAGGTCAACTGCACTGAAATAACAGAGTAACCTCAAATAGAGGGAGAGTTAAACCTGGATTATTTAATAACTAGTGCAAAAAAAAATGAAGACGACATTTGTCATGGCCATACTTCAGGATAACTCAACATAACATGAGGTGTGCTGTTTCGGAACAGGTCTTAGATCTCTTTTGTTGTTCTAAGTCTGTCATTTTCAAGGTCCTGTGAAACTGTGGTGCTCACATAAAATAAATACAAAATATCAAAATGCAGATGCTAACATTTCAATAAAATACACTGTAGGGGCTTATAATTCTTGACTGCTACTTAAATATTAGACAAGACAGTTTCAATTTATCTGTAGCACTGCATGGAAATAGTGCAAGTTGGAGTCGCTCTGAAAGAAGCTGTTATAAAACTTGGATGGACAGGGTGAAAGCAGGTTACAGTTGTCATAAATTTTAGGATGAATGAAAAGCAAGGATGCCAACTAACATTTTGGCTTCCAGTGTGCAAGAACACCCATATATATGGAAGTGAATTGTAATGTTATTTGAGTTGTTAAGATGTGAACACAGAGTATTATAAAAGAGTTGTGGTGATTGTTGAGCGACTTGTGATACATAAAGGCTGAACGTTTTCTTGATTTAAACAATGTGTTTCTCTCTTGCCTCCTTAATTTTATGTCATGGAATATGAAGTTTGCTTGATATTGAATGAAAGAAGGCTCCAGCAGGATTTATTTCTTGTAAGAG